GACCCCTGTATAGAGTTAAGACGGGATGGTCTAGACACGTGCGGTTTCGCATTCTAGCCACAGCGGAGGCAATTTCCATCCGTCTTCATAACCCCCCTCTGTGCGCTCAGAAACAATTTGTGCAAGCTCCCATGGCCGGATCGCCGACAAGTGACTTGTTATGCAACATCGGAGCAAGTGATAATTGGGGACCAATTATGAAACAAACTCTTGAATACTTTAATTATTTCCCCTCTCTTTTTCCTTGTAAATCCTTCTTTGATACTAGTCATATTTATTGTGTTGTAATGGCATGATTAAGACACACTGGAAACGAGCTTGTTTGCCAATTTGTGTTCTCATTATTCCTATCGGCAAACCACCCTGATGCGCAATGTATTTGGAGTCTTCTTAAAGTACTTTCTTTCGGGCGAAAAGCTTTTGGTTCATAATTGTAAATTAGCGTTAACTTGTATGAGTCACTGTTAGCTGACTAAGCCTTGTATTTTTATTTATTTTTCATTAAACACTTCGGTGTGGTGAATAGCAGACGGAGTGAATCCCATGGTCGCAGTGAGCTGTTTAGTGATGGAAACCCGCAACCTATGCCCTGGGACTCGGAGTGACGAACCACATAAGACCCCATTAGGTTAGGTGTGGTATTGAACCGGACGACAACAGAGCCGACTACCAGCTAAGGGAGAGTTCAAACTTTACACGAGGTTACTGTTGGGCTGGAGTCAGAACAGTCAGTTCTTGTCTTTCACTGCGGTACGCGTCTTTTCTTACTACCTGACCACAGCTGTGGATCCATTACAAAAACAAATGGTGGATGCATTTTACAACCCTCCTGTAAACTGACACTAAGAAAACATGCTGGTGGACGTCTTCTTGAAACCTCATACAGTTTGCTGCTCCAAGTCTCATAGCTTAGGTCACCGGATTCCATAGACGATCAGCACGTCTTAACCAACCTATTCACTTCACCTGCTTGCATAATACGCCGGACATGATGTATATGCAACAATCCTTATAGAAATAGAGTGCATCGGTGATTTACCCCCTGGCGGACTACTACGAGGTTGCCCGAAGTAGGTGGATTTTCGTGAAGGCGTTCACACTACGACCATTCAGGTAGTCAAATTCCGACCCGCAGTACTGCTGGACGGTGTCCGAAAAGCACAGTTTATTGTGAAAGGTGTCTAGTTCATCGGATCATCTGCTCTTTAGGCGAGTAGTAACCCCCAAGATGCCCACTCATGTCACCTACCACTGCTGGAACCATGAAAATGTAGGTGTTGTTGGTACGTCTCTTCTCGGTTGGTTTGAGATCGGGATTTGAGGCTAACTCCCCCAGTTGAACTGCTATTGGTTCACTGACCCGGTTATGGCCTCTGATGTTAGCTGTTCTTCTTCTCACCTTGATGAAAAGCCGCCTCTGCCACATGAAGACAATGTGTAGAGTTTCCTCTGCTGAAGCTTTTCGAGATGTTTGGTTTTGTAGGAATATTTCGCCATGCGCAAGGGAAGGGCAGCCAGTCACAACCCCAGACAACACGCCTAACCTATCGGGGCTTTATGTGGTTCACTACTCCAAGTCCCGGGACTTAGGTTGCCGGTTTCCAGCACAGAACAGCAGGTCCTCCTGGCTATGGGGTTCGTCCCGTCTGCTGTTCACCGCACTTAGATATGTAATGCATTGAAAAGAAAATATGTTCACTGATTCCAAATACTGGTTGTATGTCATGGATAACCTCGCCTTCGAAAGCCTCAGTATGGTCGAGGTGGATGTCTGGGATTGTGACTGGTTACCATTTCCTTACACCTCGCGAAATGCTCCTATATGACCAAGCATCTCAAATAGCCTCTGCTGAGGAAGCCCTGCTCACTGCCTTCTCGTAGCGGAGGTGTTTTCCCACCAAAGTGAGAGGACGAAAAGCCGACATCCTGGGCTATAACCGGTTTGGTGAACCATTGCAATTCCCCCTAGGGGAGTTGACCAAAAACCCTGATTTCAAACCAATCAAGAAGAGTCGTAAGAACCAGACGCACACCTTCCTTGTCGCGGCAGTGGTCACCGGCTTAATTGGGCATCGAGGTGTATTAGGCACCTTTGACGTTTGACCCGGTCCAAAGGGCGTATGATCCAGTGAACTGGACACCAGCCCCAGTGGACTTCGGGCTCTGAGCTCCGTCCTGTTGTCTTGCAGGTCTGGCTTCATGGCCAAAGACTTCGGGTTGGGACCCCGAGGTTATCCCTTTACTCGGCCAGGGAAACCGGGAAGTAACATGCCCACACAACCCATGAACACATTCTTCAAATTTCTTTCTGTTCATATGTTGTGGCACATTTGCCAGTTCTCTGTAATTGGTTACGTGTTAGACAAATATAAAAAAATATAACGTCGCTACAACGTTACTATACTATCAGGAGCATATAAAACATATTAATAACTGCCTGCGAACCACACCGCTATGCAATGCTCATCGATGACAACAGCCGAATTCAAGTCGTCGACTCGCATTCGAGCGGAGAATCTCAATTGCGGGGACAAACCCAATTCCATGGGAAGGGCGTTTTTACCAACCGCATGGAGGATAGATGCACCAGAAAAGTAACGACAGAGTCTGTCTTCATTCATCAAATCAAGCGCAATCGTAGGATGAAGTTAGGCTCGTTGCACGTGTGTTCTCGGCCAGGAGTTTTGGTCGGTCACGAGAGCTGCCTAAATTCGGAGCATAGCGGAGCTGCATGTTACGACCGTGCGCGATGAGCGAGGCGAGAGCTGCATCTTCGAGGAGCTACAGGAGGTCAGTTCTGGTTGTTCATTGTCAAATGCGCACGGTTGACCATTGTAAGGTGGTCACGGTGAAAGAGTTTCTGGTTTCATCTATACAGTTGGTTACCGGTGTATACAAGGTTTAATGGAGTGTGATAAAATCACTTAAATGAGAAGATAACCTAATCCTAATTGCACAGTTAATTTTTAACGATAAAATTACGCTGACCAAAACTACGGCAAACGCAAACGAGGTCCCGCTTCAGTCGTTCGTTCATTCATTAGTAACTATTTTTACTGAAAGCTAGAATGAGTGACAGTCATGCATATTGGTATCGTAGATGAATATCATTCCAAGCGGGTCATAGTTTCATGCTTTTTGTTCGTTTAGTTTTTGTTGACATTTTCGTCTCTTATACTAATTCCAACTTTAGATTCGGACACCCCTCAACCACGGACGAATTTAAGGCCCGAGACGACTGGCAGCCCAATGTCAACACGGTTGTCCAGGTTGAGCAGTGAATATTCGAAAGAAACGGAAAAAGTTGACGTAAAGGGCGACTGTTCTGCATCTCATACTGTACTCGCACCTGTGCTGGATGAATCCACTAGTCCGTCACCTGCCCCGTCTTCGATCACCTCCCATAACAGTACACGCGCGGAGCACGATGATCCTGTTCCGGTTGGTGTAGCCGTCGGTGCCGACGGCAGAGCTAACGAACCATTGGATACTATAGACAAACCGGTGACCGTTGTAGCTATGTCGGTCAATGTGACCAGTGGTCCACCGAGTCCACCTCTACGTCCTTCTAATGGAGGTAAGTGCACGTGAATGCAAGCATATATATATATATATATGTATATATATATATATATATACTGAACAATGAAATAACCGTTCAGACTACACCTTTTCCTATCAATCTTTAGCCAAAACCAGAAATGCTTTAGCCACAACCCGTAGTTCTTTAGCTTCGAGGAGCAAACTTTAGTCACGTCGAAGTAGGTGAGTCAGATCAAAAAGTATCGAAATATTCTGAAGTCAACGGACATTAAAAAATAGACAGGCTGTACCACTTGTTAGCTGGAGAACGTTTAACCGATCTGCTCGTATCGTCAAACCATTTGACATATCTCGTGCAGCTTCAGTGTTTCCGTATAGAATACGGTAATCCTATGAGCAGAACTCCTAAGCGTGACGCAAAGGGTACGCTGTTTTGCATTCGCAAGAGAACTCTGTTCATGAGAAGTGGCTACATAAACATGCCGAGGATAATAAACATCGTTCACAAAAGTGCATCCCCATTACTGTCATCAGTTTATTAACACTGTGAAATATGACATAAGTACAACGTTCGAGGCTCAAGGCTCTACAGCCTGTTGGGAAACGGGGTCTTTTCTGAACAGTGTTTATGTACCCACATCTCAAGAGCGGAGTTCACTTTTGGTGGATATAGGGAACGGTAAGCATTTACTTTTTGCGGCATCACTTTTTGATTTACTTCAGAGCTCGTGAATGCAAAAACAATGTACCGTTTGTGTTACACTTAGGAGTTTTGCTCATAGGATTACCGCATTTTATACGAAAACACTGAAGCTGTACGAGATATGTCAAATGGTTTGACGATACGGGCACATCGGTTGAACCTGTGGTACAGCCTGCAACCCCCACACCTTCTTTCTTATCTGAGCTTTGCAACATCAACATCTGTAGGTAGGAAATTTCTTCAATGTCCGTTGACTTCAGAATATTTCGATACTTTTTGATCTGACTCACCTACTTCGACGTGACTAAAGTTTGCTGCTGGAGACTAAAGGACTACGGGTCGTGGCTAAAGCATTTCCGGTTTTGGCTAAAGGAATGTGGATCAAGGCTAAAGGACTGCGTGTTTTGGCTAAAGATCGATGGGAAAAGGTGTAGTATTAAGCTTCGCTGTATGGGTATTTGGTAGAATTCCACTGTTTGCATTGTTCATACCGACCGGTTTTGTCAATGTGAGCCACTTTGGGGGCATTAACCTTTGTTGCGTCACACCGAATATGGGTTAGTAAGTTTCACCGATTAACCCACGAATCGCTCGCCTTCAACACTCATTTTGACCCCCCTCAAGATGGGGATTTCAGCAGAGACGAATTACGAATAACTAACCGAAGGGATTAGGTACAGTAAGTGTTTTCTGTCTTCCGGACCGAAGGTCCTACTTGTTAGGACGGAGCGTAAGAAACCCGTCCGATCGCGCACGCCTCCGAGTCAGGCCACACGCACGCTCGCAACGCTCCAAACAGGCTGAACCTGATTGGATGATCACAGAACGTGTCAGCCAACGTTTGTCCAATCGATCAATCGATATGTCAAGGACACTACCTGATTGGTGCGTCACTGCGCCGTCCTCGTATGCACGATTAGTTCTATATTTTTTTGACATATCGATAACTTATCGAAGACTACACGCTGACTGTGGTCTCAACCGGTGTTCTCTCTCCGCGTTGTCGTTGGGGCTTAAGCAAGAGTCGCTCGTGTCATTCGTACGCTTAGACCAAACACAACACTACTGTCTCTATAACTGGTTGATTGGAGACATTGAATGGTACAGCAGTGAACCGACATCAGTAGTATCCTTTTCATCAGGCTGGGATGTTTGAAGAGCTGTATAAACCTGGTTATATTGTACGTCCTGTGTGATTTCCATAGTGGTTCACGTTCACTTCAACCCACTCAAACCGATCTCAATCGCTGACCAGCTCACACTAAATTATTTTAGACACACGCGTACACTTTGGCAGCAATCAACGAAATTCACTTCATTGAATTTTGCCTTGCAATGACAAGAAAATCGATAATATTTTATCCTCTTATCACTGGATAATCGGGTGTGCTATCAATTGAATCTTTGCATTCAGTTGTGGACGGTGACGGCGACTTG